ATAGACTAAGTGATTACATGTATATGTGAAAGAAGCTATGAGCTTATATGAACATGTGATATGATATGGAATACATGGTTACACATACATATGGTATGTGACAGAAGAGAAATGACAAGTAATGTGAACTGTTAAATGACAATGCCCATGTTATGTGTCATGAGAGCTAGGGGTATAGTTGGCATGCCAAGAGTCGAGGGTCTATGTGGTCCTTCGGGACATATATGTATTCTTTGGAACATGTGTGAAGTCTGGTGAGACACATACTTGATCCCTAGTATATGTATATGATTCTTAAGGAATGATATGTGGTCCTTCGGGACATTGTGGTCCTTCGGGACATATATGTATTCTTTGGAACATGTGTGAAGTCTGGTGAGACACATACTTGATCCTTGGCATATGTATATGATTCTTAAGGAATGACATGTGGTCCTTCGGGACATTGTGGTCCTTCGGGACATATATGTACATGTGTGAAGTCTGGTGAGACGCATACTTGATCCCTAGTATATGTATATGATTCTTAAGGAATGATATGTGGTCCTTATGGACATTATTATATGGCACTACGGTGCAATTCTATGTGGCACTTCGGTGCATTTATATGAGCTATGGTGACAGCATTAGTGCACAACCTCCATAAACTCACATATCTATAGTTCTCACATATGTACATGGGCTAATCCAGAGATATGAACAAATATATGTTAGTGGTATGATAAATGTTATAGAAATGATATGATGTTGTGTGTGTATAGTGTTTGATTGAAAAGGTTAAGCATAAAAGTATGTGATTACATGATAAACTGTTAATGATGAGTTATGTGTATGTATGTATTTACTGTAATTAATCTGATATGATTTTATATGATACGAAGAAAGCATGTAATTTGGTATAACATGATAGAACAGAACATGCATGTATTGATATATGTTATAAAGAGCATTATAAGTTTTTATGCCTCACTAAGTCTTCGACTTAGCGTGTGATTGTTTCACACGTAGGTTTCGAGAAGAGTAAAGAGTAATGCGGAGCAAGACAGGTCAGTTCTCCTTACCAAATGTCAGTTCAGAAAATATATGTACTGTTTATAGAGTGTAGTTGGCATGTAGTCTAAAGATATAAATTGTATGAACTCTGATATATTTTGTAAACGTTTTGAATAAGTTAAATGTTATCAAAGTTTTTAAATTACTCACTATTTTATACGAATAAATGTTTGAAAAGTCAATGTGACACTTCGGACTCGTATCCGGGTCAGATACGGGTTGGGGGTGTTACATCAATAATACAAAACTACCAGATGAATGCAATAGTCCATCAGGTATAAGGTAAAGCGTAAATTTTCTTAACGATACAAACATCATCATGTTCTAGAAGTGAGTCCAGATTCATTAATTAATTTTTTAGGTAACAGTCGAGAAACTTACAGTCTGAAGGAAACGTTTAGAAAAACAGATTCAGGAGACTGCGAAGAGAAGTCTAGTGTGTTCCAACAAAACCAGAGGAAGTATACTAATCTTTTAAAACATTAACAATTTAAAACATATTTTAAAACCACAGTAATACTCTCCAACCGAACTCCAATATGCAGTTCCCTAGAACTGCATCCATAAAGGCTTACCTTAGGCCCATTGGGCGTAAAAGCCAACTTAAGGGAGTATATTGGGGCCTGAGAGCCTACCCAAGAGAGTACCTTAGGGCCTAAGAGCCTACGCAAGGGAGTACCTTGGGGCCTTAGAGCCTACCCAAGGAAATGCCTTGGGGCCTCAGAGTCTACCCAATGTCACCTTAGGTTCGTAAGGAATTACCAGTTTAATCAGAACTGAACCTCCATACTCCATAATCATACCCAAATAGTATCCCAATAATCAGTTTATATAGTAAATAGTAAATTACACGATCCATAAATCAAACATAATTATATTTTCTAGTGAAAACATGTAACCAGGGAGCATATATCATGTAAGCATAGTTCATAAATAGTAAATCAATAAAGTAGTAATTCAGAATATCGAACAGTTAAAATATTCGTAGACCAACTAGATAACAAATCACATTTCAGAATAGATAAAACAATCATATAACACACGGGGAACACACTAAATGATCAAGTTATATTCTAGAGGTATTTGGTAATTATCAAGCGGGAAAAAACCCACGAAACTTCTGCAAACTATTCAAACTTTAGAAACGAGATCCTTTTTAAAGAGTTCGACCATGATTATATAATATTTGAATATACCCAAATGATATTAAGGAATTGTTACATCAAAATTACTTAAGATTCAAGAATTTCTTGGGGTGATTTTATTAATCAGACTCATAATGACATTTTAGTCATTTAATTCTTGAGATATTTTGGTAATTCAGTTTGATAAAGGTAAGGAGTGATTTACAATATTTCAGATTTTAAGCATCTTATCATGCTTCCAAGTCCGATCGAATTGTACTGATCCTAGCACCTACGATACTAACCAAGTATGTAGGTAGAGTAATTTCACGAATATTCATTTCTTATTATTGATTGCACTATAAATTCGAACTAATCACCTTCAGAACCATCATTTGACGAATATTGAGAAAACAAATGAGTATTCAGGCTATATTTATTTTATTCTTATAGTGTAATAGTAGCAAGCATGACCGATATGCTTGGGACATGTTTGAATCTTAGGGGCGATACAACCTTTATTTATATTTTTATCAATATGACCAAAATTTATCCAAGGGCATTCACTTATTCTAGACCATGAAGGTATTTAGGTCATTTCGGTACTTGAGGTTAATTTAATCATTTCAAGACTCGAGGGTATTTCATTCATTTTGAAACATAAGGGTATTTCATTTCAGGATTTTAGTGGTATTTCGGTCATTTCAACATTCATGGTATTTCATTCCTTTCATTCAATCCAGTCTTTCCATTTAATCCAATCTTGTCAATTGTTTCAGTCATTTCGAATAATCCTGACAATAAGAGTACTTTCGATAAGTTAGTCTTCAGGTGTTTGCTCATAAATCAGAAATTTTGGGCCTAATGCCTTCTCAGAGCTTACGAACTGATAATAAATTTTTTTTTGAACAAAACAAGAACTTAACAGTTAAATCATTAATTTGTCGGATTAAATACGAACTCTCAAGGTACTTTCTCAATTGAGGTCAATCCAGGCTATTTTTACCTCTCAAGGGTAATTTCATAATTTCTTATCTGAATATTTTCGGTGTTTCAATTTTTAACAAGAATAATATGAATTTAAGGGTTATGAGGTTAAACGTTTCACTGGTTAATCACGGAACTTGGAATTAGTCCTTATCAATCTTCTAATTCCTTATACGAGCCATCTAAATTTTATTCAGTTACTTACTTTTTATCGCATTCGGATCGAGTTTAGAAATAATTAACTATACATATGATACCAAACATGTTCATCCATGCACTTAGCAATACCAACATGTAATGTAAAAACATGCATAGGATAGTAAAGTATTACATCGATTCTCAAGCTATACCTGTCGAACATTTAAACTCTATTCAATCACTCTCAAACTTGAATCTAACGTCTAATAATATCTCGGATACATATCAACATAAATTACATCAGAAATAGAGCTTAATGATGAAAAACAGAGGTTAATCAGTGAAAATAGCTTACCGAGTTCGAATTTGGCGAAACGGTCCTAAAAACAGACTCAGTACATCGAAAAACATCAGGATAAGTGCTCCCAAAAAAGTCAACGACCAGTCATCGGCGATCAACGCCTGGTCAACGGTCAATGCCTAGTCAATGGCTCAGCTCGGCTCTACTCAAACGGCTTGTTCCAGACCGGTTCAGTCAGTCAACAGACTCCCCTGGTGCTGATCTCCAGTCTTCGGCTCGGTGTGAAATTTTCCAGTCTCATAGATCAGCACCTTGGGGGTCTCGTGCAAGTGCTATTTTGTGACGAAGAGCATCAAAAACCCAATTTACGAACAGTCAAAACCCATTCAACGTTCACTCCCCACGACGGCGACGCGACGATGGTGAGGGACCAAAATGGTCGGGCTTTGGTCAAACAGCGACGGGGAGTCCACTGTTGGGGGCGGTGAGACTAACAGAGTTCGAAAATGGGAAATTGAAGAAAAATGACGATGGTCGGCGATTTTTCGACGAACATTTTGAACACTGATTCACGGTGAACAATGACAGTTTTCGACGAACGGTTTGAAGGGATTTGGTCGCGATTGGATGACGAACACTTCTGTGGTGGTGGTGCACGTCACCGGAGGCCGGAGAGAAAACAGTGACGAGGGAGATGCAAACGAGGCTTGATAGCTTGGGGGCTTTTTAATCTGATATAAGTTAGATGAAATAGCATATTTGTTAATTAAAACCTAAATATTGGCCTAGCATAGTGGTAGAGTTATGTGTGCTTATACCTATATGTCATGGATTCAAGCCTTGACAGCCTCAAATATTTTTTGGTTGACTGAGTTTCAAATTTCTAACAAAATGGGTAAATTACACACTAGGCCACTGATTTCTTTAGAGTTAATCTTTTTGGCTCAAAGTTCTTTCCCGAATGCAACTTAGTCAAATATTCCCTTAGTTTCCAAACAATTTGTATTCCAAACTCTAGTATTTCACACTTTAATCCTTGTCAAAGATCTTGTCTATGTAATATAACTGTCTCAAAGGGTATTATCTACCCTAAATTTGGAGTAATTTGTGCGCTTTGATAAATCAACAACGCTGCTGATTTTGACAGTAAGTTACGCTATAGTGCTGTTATCAGTTAGTGAAGCAAGAACAGATGCAAAACCCAGAGTCCAAACATACAATAAAAACACAATTTTGTTATTTCACCAATCATCTCGCATTACAAAGGGCGGCAGATAACTATCCAAAACCAAACAAAACAAGAAGCATTGCATTAACCAATCAGAAGGGTATGAAAAAAAACGACCAAACATCGTAAAAAACGAAACACTGTAAAGCAGGAGAGTAATGGGTGGTCGCTACCCAGTGTAGATGTGAACACCAATGGCGACGAGGAAGGTAGTCATGAGACCAAAGAAGATTATAGCGTGAACGAGGATGGAAACCCCACTAGTTTGCATGTTCCCAAACTCCACCACTCTGTTCCTCCCCGGCAACTGAAACAACAATCCAGGACCTAAAACCACAAACAGCACCACCGCTATCACCACCGGTACCCAATCCGCCATGCTTTTCTTCACTCTCTTCTTACGGTATTCACTTATGGAATTCTGGGGTGTCCTTCAAACAAGAAGAAGACCAGTTGTGCTCTGATGATGTGGCAACATCATGGGACGTCTGTCCCTTTCCCATGACTTTGTAAACTGCAATCGTTTCACTTAAACATATCTCAAGTTTGAGATTTTATATATACAGAGATTTTTTATTAAAAAAATTATCTATTAAAATTAGATGTATGATATAAATTAATCTAAATTAATTAAGATAAATCTTAAGAAATTAAGAGAATGTATATATAATATTTCGTTCATGGTATGATTAAGAAGTAGAAAAGAACAGGGACGGTACCACTAATATATATATATATAAAGAGATAAGATTCTATTACACAATATAATATTTTTTTTTAGTTTTATATAGATTTAGTATCGTTGGATGATTAAAAATAAATGATTGAGATTAACAGTAGGAAATAAAAAGACATTCAATGAAAAAAAATAACAAAAAGTTAATATCAATTATCTATTTTCACCAGGGGCATGGCTGAGGGTGTGTAGGGTGGGCGACCGCGTAGGGCCCTCAAAAAATAGGGGCCCCGAAATCGAGTATATCTATCAGTTGTTGCCATTAATAAGAATAAAAATAGGGGTCCTGAAATCGAGTATATCTATCAGTTGTTGTCATTAAGAAACATAAAAATAGAGGCCCCGAAATCGAGTATATATATCAGTTGTTGTCATTAAGAAGCATAAAAATAGGGGTCCTGAAATCGAATATATGTAGAAAATAGGGGCCCTTTATAAGAATTTGCACAGGACCCCCGACAACCTAGCCACGACCGATTTTCACTATCATAATATATTTCTTTATTTAATTTTTAAACATAAATGAATTAAAATAATTTTTAATATTTACATCAAAATGTATTATATTTATTTCATTTAATATCTAGTAAATGGAAAATAAAAAAAATTAAACTTGAAAGTGGATTGAGCTATACTCAAGCTTTCAATATCAGAATAAAATCTCAATTAATATTTTAAATAAATTTATTATTTTTCTCAAACATATTTTAACCTTTTCAAATATTAAAGGATCCTTTAAATTAAAAGAAAAAACAAAATTCAATCCTTGAACAAATCTATTTCTCTTTATATGTAAAAATTCATTTTTGACTGTTTAAGGAAATTACCTTATAAAAAAGGGAATATATACAGTACAATTGAAAGAAGAAAAATTAAAGTTTCATTATAATTGATCAACCAATGAGATGTTAAATCTTTTAAATAAAGTTCAAGATTTAAATTTAATATTATAAATAAAATAAATTGGATTGAGATAATTATAATGAGTTGAGCAACTCGTGAGCTGTTTGAATTCGACTTGGTTAAAATTCAGTCAATGCTTGATTCAGGTTAAATCGACTCAAACTCGAGATCTTAAAGAGTTGAGCCGAACAAGGCCCAGCTCGACTCGATAAGTTCGCGATCAATTCGTTAACTTTTTTTTTATAATTTTTAGTAGTTACCTTAAAAAATTATTTCATTCGAAAGAAAGAAAGTCTAACTAATTTTTTTTAACGAACACGAATTAAGAAAAAATTTAACAGTGTATGATTTTGACAAAAAATAGTTGGATGACTAAAAAGTGATAGTTGGATACTAAATGTGTAGTTTACCCTTAAGTTTTTGGTTAAAAGGTCCAATCAAATCTTCTTGAAGCCCTCCATGAGAAGCTCCAAAGTCACTAGCATGTCTAATCGTTCTCTTTGATTTCATTGCTGAATTAAAGTAAACATGACTTGCAGCATCTCCACCGGATGTTATTTATTTGTGTGGAAAATTTCGAGATATTTCAAAACATAACATTAACAACGATGATCATATAAATATAATAAAAATATTAGCAGGATTATGGTAATATATAAAATCGAGCAAAATAATTAATAATAGAAAGAAAATTTTTACAATACTCGTCGAGGTGGATAAACACGTGTAGACACTCATTTTCGTCCGATTTTTTATACATATGTATATATATATTATATAGTCTTTAAAATAATTTTAAAATATATATAATATAATTTTTTTTTTGAAAACATATAATATAGTTTTAAAACATTTTTGAAAACTATATAACATATAATTTGAAAACATTTTTTAAAATTATATTATATGTGATTTTGAAAATATTTTTGAAATATATATTATATATAGTTTTAAAACAAATTTAAAATATATATATATATATATATTATAATATATTATTTTATTCTTATTTTATTTATTATTCTTTATTATTCTTATTTATTTATTATTTACTCATTTTTTTAGGCCCCATAATCTACCTACCCACTAAACCACTAAACCCCATGTATCTCACCACTAATCACCCACCTTCTCAATTCTCAAAGTGCTGAAACTTCAACTGCTCATTTGGAGATTATTTAAAGGATGGTTCTTCCAGGATTGAAAAGGGGGTGAAAGGTCTGGAACAGAAAGAAAAATTAGCTGAAAAGAAAAATAGAAACAAAAAAGGAAGAAGAAAGGCTCGTTTAGGGAAGCGGAGCATTTGATCGACTGCACATATTCTCCGTCGATTTTGACTTCCATGCCTTTGATCTGGAACCGTCTTCTTTGCTTGGTATCGTGCCTCGTAGTGGACATGATTCACACGAAGTTGATGAAGATATGCGCCTGGCTCTAGCTAATCAAATGGTGATATGGAAATATGGCAAATGCTTGGAAGGAAAAAGTAAGTGCTTACATGCGAAAAGGAAGATTAAACGAGGCTGCACAGTGTTGCCATCAAGCACTGCAATTAAATCCTCTTTTGGTTGACGCTCATAGTGATCTTGGAAATCTAATGAAGGCTCAAGGGCTGATGAATTATCCATCTTCACAGCTTTACAGCAATGGGAATTCTGTGAATATTGAAAAGAACAAGTCGTTTACTCGAAAAGTAGTTTCCTCGAAAAGTAGTTTCCTTCGTCTTGATTACTGTAACAGGCGGTGTCGCCTTGAGTGCTCTTGACGACCTCGCCATCTACCATGGCTGTAGCAGAAAGGCAATGGAGAAAGCCACTCACAAGAGGCAGTCTGTATCTTGCACATTCCCCGTGTCTGGACCACAAGGCGATGGAGTATTACAATTGAAGGCAGTTCGAAACAAAGCTTTACGACCTATTGAATTTCTAAGGGGCATGCGCTCATTGGCCAAAGAATGTCGTGTTATAAAGCTATTTTTAAAGATTGATGAGCATGTAGGTACCTTACTATACTCTGAACCTCAAGTTTTGAATGCTACAGGCTTTTCACTATATTGTTACTCTTTATGAGTTGGAACATGTGGTGCTGCTAGGTTCGTATTTTTTAATGTATTTTCTTTTATCATTTGTATTTAAAAATTGGTGGATTAGATTTATTTAATATTTATTTCTTATTTTTTATCTAATATTTTTTATCTTTTTAGGGGTGATTTCGATCGATCAAAAATAATTTAGATCGAATAATTTAAATTTAAATTTTAATTATAATTTTCGCAATTAAAGACAATCGATAAATTAATTGGTATCGAAAGGGCGATTCAAGGGTGGTAATCCTTCCTTGACCATAACCGACTCCCGAACTCGACATGTTTTTGGTGTAACGCAGATCATGTAAGATGGTGTCTAACCCACATAAATTCGTTTTAAAGTGGTCGGTGGCAACTCCGATTCATTTAATCTAAGTCGAAGCCTAATTTCGGGGCCCAACCAAAAGACGGCGGCGACAGCTTGACGACTCCGCTGGGGACAGGTAAGTGAGTCATGTCGAAATTAATTTCCGGTTGTCTTTTTTAGCGAAATTGCAAATTTAAATTTAAATTTATTTATTCGATTCCAATTATTTATCTTTGATTATTTTTTTTAAATAAATAGTTGTACTAACGTTTTTTTGAATGATTTCAGATTTTTGAAAAATTTTCATCTCAGACTCTATACTCGAGCTCCAAACCCTATTTAAGTGGGCTGAAAGCGACGCATTCGTGTGAATTTATTCACCGTGCGGGCCTAACGAGTAGCCTTCGGGATTCATATACCTTATGTCTTCATGTGAATTTATTCACCGCACATACATAAGAGAATGTGTCATCACGAGTTTAACTTAGTCCACACAAGCTTGTAATGGGCTTAGGACTAAGGGTCTGACAAGCCCAAGGGGCACCAACAAAGAGAACTTGGGTACCCTTTTAGAACCTAAACCCAGAGAGTACAGGGAATTTGAGCCCACCCCAAAACCTCATTGCAAACCCTAGGCTGCTTGGTTTTTATTTTCTGCTTTATTTTCTGTTCAAAGCATGTGAACTAAAAATTTATGCGGTTAGGACTTGTTCAAAATCAACTTATGGGATAGAGATCATGTTCGGGTAGAAATTATAAGCATGTGGGGTAGATATCATAAGATTTTTCATTTTTATTATTATTTTGATTTACCTCACTCACTCTTTTTATTTTTATTATCTTTTATTTTGTTTTTATCACTTGCATCATTTAAAAGAGGTGTTGATCCACCAAAAACGCGTTTGTTAAACATGAATAATCTGTATTAATGGACAAAGGGGTTGTAATACAAGAGATGAAAATACAGATGACAATCTACAAGGCGACAATGTGTCATATTCAATCCAGAAGACGTGGTGCCTACAATTGAAGAGTATATCACTCTGATGCATTATAAAGGACTCAGAATGAACCGGGTCTACATCAAGCACAATGAAAGTATATCTTTGAAGAACTAACTGGCAGAGATTGCAGGGGCAAGATGAAGGTTACTGATCTTGGGAGTCCCTTCAAAGACAACAATGGCAAAACGATAGCTGAAACTGGAGATCATTGTTGACGAATTCAAGAAATAGACGAACGAACTTCACTTTGTTCCTATCAATTGAGGACTCCAATGCCATATTCGTTGGGAAAAGGTCCAACATAAGATAAATGCAAGAGATGCAGTCATTCGAGACTTCTTAG